TCTCTTTTTTTTTTTTTTTTTTGGAAACAGAGTCTCACTCAGTCACCTTGGGTAGAGTTTGTGTTATCATAGCTCACAGCAACCTCAAACTCTTGGGCTTAAGCGATCTTCTTGCCTCAGCCTCCCAAGTAGCTGGGACTACAGGTACCCGTAGTAAAGCCTGGCTGGTTTTCTATTTTTAGTAGAGATGGGGTCTTGCTCTTGCTCAGGCTGGTGTTAAACTCCTGAGCTCAAGCAATCCATCTGCCTCAGCCTCCCAGAGTGCTAGATTACAGGTGTGAACCACTGCACCAGGCCTTGGGTAAAACTTACTTTTATTGTTATGTCGTTAGAGTGAAGGTTACTTTTATGTTGTTTAAACATTCAGTACTGTTAGAGTGAAGACTACTTTGATGTTGGCTGTCAAATAAAGTTAAAGTTTTCTAGGTTTGTTTCCTTCTGTTTCCATTATTAAAACTATTAGAATATTAACTGAGGCAGAACAGAACTCTTCCTGTTCTCCAGATCACTGGCCTTCTGACAATAAACCTTGGTAGACCTAATCCCCCCATCTCTGCATTTGACAGTGACAGGCAACCGGACTCTCTCTCTCCAGTGACACATTAGTGTTGTGGCTGAGCAGGTAAGTACTTCTGCTTCTGTAAGAGGTAGAAGAGGCCTGAGTCCGAAAATAGTCTGTATTCCATGGGGCAGGGCAGTCCCACAGGACAGGAAGTCACGGAAGGTTGGCAAGGACCTTGCCAGTGGACTGCCAGCCTCTCCTCAGGTAAAGAGGGTTGCAGTGGTTTTCAACCTGTGGGTCATGGCCCCCTTTTAACAATGAAAATACATTGCAGCATTAGGAAGGTTGAGAACCACTGGGTTAAAGTGAAGTACTGCTGAGGGAATCCAAGCTGCGCTCTCTGGGTGACCTGGGGCAATTCCTTCCCTTCAGCTCTAAACTGAAGAGGCAAATTATTATTCTAGTCCCTCTCTCTTGGCCCTCCCTCCTTGGTTGTGTCCCAGGCACTGGCCCTTAGAGAGGCAAATGCTCTGATAGCTCACCTTGATGACTCCTGCTTATAAATGTCAATAATGTTCTCCACTAGCAGGTTTCGCTGCAGGCCATAGACACCGTGTCGGTCCAGAACAACCTCATGCCTGCAAGATGGGCAGCGGAATCGGCCTCCTGAAGACACAGTAGTAGAGCCTCGGGATTGCCACAGAGGGTTTGAGGCCTGTGGGGACAGGCAGCATGAGAGAACAGGCACAGTGAGGCATGAGAGAACGGGGAGGCGTAGGAGAACAGCGGAGGGGGAGATATTAACTCTTGTCTATGGCTGGGTTCTGAGTGGCAGTGGAGAGCTTTCTTCCCACCTTTGTGTCATTGAACTCTGCCTATCTCCTTGAGTGCCCAGGCATCCAGAGCTTAGCTTAGACCACGGTTTAGTCAGATGGGATCTTTCCAGAAAAGACCAGCTTGGAGCTACCGTGTTTCCCCCAAAATAAGACCTACCCAAAAAATAAGCCCTAGCAGGATTTCTATGCATTTGTTAAATATAAGCCCTACCCTGATAATAAGACCTAGTGATGGGCATGGCTATGCAGCGTATCTGCATAGCCACGCCATGCATTTCTGTGCAGAGAGGAAGACATCCCCTGAAAATAAGCCCTAGTGTGTCTTCTTGAGAAAAAATAAATATAAGACAGTGTCTTATTTTCAGGGAAACACGGTATGAAGACATACTAGCCTAGGCAGAAAGGCTGAGACAGGCAATGGACTCTGAGCAGTACAGCCAAGGTCCTCCAATCTGGAGCCTTCATGGGCCATATCTGGGGGAGATTCTCTGCAGTCCTGGGCAGGGGTGCAAGCAGAGACAAATCCTGAACAATGTGGTTGACAAGCCATAACTAGCTAAGTAATTTGGGGAAATTCCTCCAGGGACTGGCAGTCAGGAGTCCTAGGCCCATCTTGCTCCTGGTGCTTTTTTTTTTTTTTTAATGTAAATTTGGACAAGCATTCAAACTCTGTGAAACTAAGGATTGAGTTAGATTACTCATTTCACATCAAATTGTGAGTGTGCCAGGTAATTGCTAGGCTCTGAGTTAAAGATATGAACAAAATGCATCCCTGCCTTAAAGACAAGAAGACAGATAACTAGTCAGATGGGTGTTATGATAGGGGTAAGTTCAGTAGGAAGATTACCAGAGATGCCCATCACTCCTCCCACTTTACACCTCTTTCTTAGAGAACCCAGAACACCCCATCCTGTCAGGGAGAACCTGCCATGCCCCTGGTCAGAGATGACTGGCTCAAAACTAAGGACATGATCACCTGACAAAAGCAGGATCAATCAAATATTCTCTCCCAGGAATTTAGAATTGAGACACCGAGGTTGAGCTGGCTGAACCACATGCTACTTAGGTACTGAAAAGACCTGTGGAGTTGGGCTAAGAACTGGCACCCATCATGGCCACTCTGGAAAGTGTGAGGGGTCAGAAACCACAAATAAAAAGGCTACTCTGCAGAGAAGGAAGAAGACTCAATTTGTGGGGAGAAAGAGATGAAAGATTGGCAGAGACTGCTGATTACTACCTGAGGTTCACCCCTTCTTTTTCTATGACAGAGGCTCGGAGTTTTAGCAAGATTCATGGTATCAAGACCATGAATTCAAGACTTTCCTCCAGCTGGGTATGGCCAGGTGCCTGTGTTCTGGAATATAAACAGGAATGTTTTGTGTAATTCCTAGGAAGCATCTTTAATGGAAGGGGTATGCCCTACTCTTTTCTCCTTCCTGTTGGCAGGAATGAAGATATGTGGCTTAGGTTGAAGCAGGCATCTTGAGGAATGATGTAGTAGCCACGAGTTGAGAATGGCAACAGGATAAAAGGAGCGGGTCACTGATGACAGTCCTGAACTGCCTACCCATACTTTTATCTGAGAGAAAAGCAAACTTTTACCTGCTTCAAGCTGCCATTATTTTGGGGTTTCTGCCACTTACGGTAGAACCCAATCCTAACTGGCTGGAAGACCACGCACTCCTAGAGAGTAATGGGGACAGTAGTCACCTATGACTTGATTTGTTTGTTTGTTTGTTTAGAGGCAGAGTCTCACTCTGTCACCCTGGCTAGAGTGCAGTGGCATCACTGTACCTGGCTGCAACCTCAAACTCTTTGGCTTAAGTAATCCTCCTGCCTCAGCCTTCTGAGTAACTCGGAGTTACAACATAGGTGCACCTATGCCTGGCTGATTTTTTCTTTTTCTTTTTTTCTTTTTTTTTTTTTTTGTGGAGGCAGAGTGTCATTTTATTGCCCTCGGTAGAGTGCTGTGGTATCACAGCTCACAGTAACCTCAAATTCTTAGGCTTAAGTGATTCTCTTGCCTCAGCCTCCCAAGAAGCTGAGACTACAGGTGTCTGTTACAACGCCTGGCTATTTTTAGAGACGAGGTCTCACTCTGGCTCAGGCTGGTCTCAAACTTGTGAGTGAGCTCAGGCAATCCACTTGCCTCAGCCTCCCAGTGTGCTAGGATTACAGGTGTGAGCCACTGTGCCCAGCCCTTATTTTTGGAGACAGTCTCACTCTGTTGCCCTGAGTAGAGTGCCATAGGTTTATAGGTCATGGCAACATCAAATTCTTGGGCTTGAGTGATCCTCTTGCTTCAGCGTCCTGAGTAGCTAGGACTACAGGCATGCACTGCCATCATGCCTGGCTAGTTTTTCTTTCTTTCTTTCTTTCTTTTTTTTTTTTTTTTAGTAGAGATGGAGTCTTGCTCTTACTCAGGCTGGTCTCAAATTCCTGAGCTCAGGCAATCCACCTGCCTTGGCCTCCCAGAGTGCTAGAATTACAGTGTGAGCCACTGTACCTGGCCAACTTGGTGTATTTAGGTGTATTTCCTACAACAGGGTTCCATGACATTCTCCAAATCCCTGTGCTCTACACCAACCAGAAGACAGGTCTGAAAGAACCCTATGTGTGCACAACAACACCCCATTGTGCACAGGGCATGCAAGTCAAGGGATGTAGGCAAAGCAGGAAACGTGGCTCCACTGTTTAAGTGGACAGCTTATTTTGGGGAGAGTAACATGGGCCATAAATAGCACATTTTGGGGGGATTTCTTGAGACTCAGAAGAAGTTAACACCTTAGCCCATCCTACACATGGAACAGATTGGAGTAGAACCTCTCTGTAAGTTGACCATCCAAGGCACTGTAACAAACTGGTCAACATACAGATATGGTCAACACAGGAACTTCCACTGAGTACATGTGGTGCATGTCCAGCCTATGAAAATTAGGTCAACTTGAAGAGGTCAATGTAGGGAGTTGGTTAGCTATGGAGGTCCTACTGGAGTTTGAGATAATCCAAGGCTGTGCATGTGCCAAGGTTTGTGCATGTGCCCTTCTCAGTAACAAGAAACGTGTGAATATTGTTGTCAGTCTAGGGAATGTGTTGAAGTATATAATCACTAGCTTTTGTTTGCTTAATACAATTACTTTTCAATATTTAGAATCCAAGTGAGTTAGGGGGGACTGGGAGAACTCTAAGCCTGCCAGCCTAGAGAATCTCACTCATCCTTGCTTTGTTGGTGGCAAGCATACAGGGTGCTCAATGAATGTCTGAGTGGGAAGATAGGGGACCTATAGCCCAAAGCAAAGACAAACTCTTATGAAGCCTCTCTTCCTGACCTCTGTCCCCCATGGACCCCTTCTTCTTAAGGCACAAAAGCAGGGATACTCATTATTTACCATTTAACAAATGTTTTCAGGGCCTATTATATGTTAAGAAGCATTGTGTCATGGGCTTAGAATTTAATCTTAAAGGGCTTAATCCTAAATCCTAAAGGGCTTCTTGTAAAGATAGTGGAGAAGATGAACTTTTATTCCTAACTTAGACTACAAGAAATATAATCACAATAGCTAACATCTACTACTGAGTACTTTATACCAAGATTTATTCTAAGTTTCATTTGCATCAATTCATTAAATCCTCATATCAACCCTCTGAAGTAGGCGCAACCATTAGCCCCATTTCAAAGATGAGGAAACTGTGGCCCAAGAAGTTAATTAAATCACACATGGTCATCAGCTAATAGGTGGCAGAGCCAACAATACTTGAACTTGGGCACTCTGACTCCAGAGTCTGTCCTAACACTCATTACACTACATTGTCAGATACAATAAAATTTAGGCCAATTGAAAGATGATGCCCAGAGCTAACATTCATCTCTTTGAGTGTCAGGCAGAGACAGATTTTTTTTTTTTTAAAGTAAAAGTGTCATGAAGGACCAAACATTAACCCTTCACAGAGGAAAGAAACTACAGCCTGAAAACCAACTATGCAATTGGGGGTTGCAGTAGTTTAATCAAAGATAAACAAAAGATGCCCCATCAAATCAAAACTCTGTGTGCCATGGAGCACAATAGAGGCCCTGCTTCCAATCATAATGACCTGCTCATGCAGGAAAAGGAAAGAGTTCAAATCTCAGGGGATACCTCCTCCCACAGAAAGACATGTCTGTGCAGCAGATAATTCACTGGATTCTGTGGCAACAATATTCTGAGATAACATAACCAAATTGAGACATTCAACTCCTTACTAATTCAGGTCATACTCCTGTATTCACCAAGGAAGCCAAAGGACTGAACAGAGATTACAAACCAATAGCCAGGTAGTTTATATTTAAAAGAACAGTGATAGCCGGGAGTTGTGGCGGGCACCTGTAGTCCCAGCTTCTTGGGAGGCTGAGGCAAGAGAATCGCCTAAGCCCAAGAGCTGGAGGTTGCCGTGAGCTGTGACTCTTGCTTTAGGATGATGAAGAAGTTCTGAAGATGGATCATGGTTACGTTTTCACAGCATCAGGGCTTTTCTTTTTTTGAGACAGAGTCTCGCTTTGTCACCCTCACGTGAATGCTGCGGCATCACAGCTTATAGCAACCTCAAACTCTTGGGCTCAAGTGATCCTCTTGCTTCAGCCTCCCGAATAACTGGAACTACAGGCACCTGCCACAGTGCCTGGTTATTATTATCTTTTTTTTTAGAGATGAGGTCTCGCTCTGGCTCAGGCTGGTCTCAAACTTGTGAGCTCAGGTAATCTACCTGCCTCAGCCTCCTAGAGTGCTAGGATTACAGGGTTCGGCCCATTTACCATAATTTTTAAAAAAGGAAAAAAGTGGTTTTCCTGGTTCAAAAAGTGGTTTGCTGGTTCATCTCAGGCAATGGTTTTCAAACTCCCCTG